ATAGACTTCTGCCACATGTCATCGTGAAATCACTTAGCAATAGGCGCTGGCAGTGATGCGATGTGCACTTGGGCATCGCAACCATCCATATAGCGGTGATAAGAGTGCAAAGTGATGCTGCTAAGGCGAGTGAACACCACCAAGCTATATAACAACATATTTGGCTATTGGTGCAGATCAGAAAACACAGAACATAGTGCTGACCTTGAAAGTTGGCACTTTTTTACATCGCCTCTCTTTAGCGCCTGGTGATAGTAGTAGTGCCGATGTGATAGTGTGTTGATGTCAGTGCACAAAGTACCAAAGACATTTCACTGGTGACGAGTGCAAGTGAGGGATGCTTACACTCGTGACCAGGCAAACACCTTCTTCACCTTTCTCTTCTCTTGGCTCTAATCGGCCGAGTGAAAAAAAGATACATCGTCTAGCAGGCGTCTATCAAGGGTAAGTTGCCTTTTATTTCATATTGCCACTGCAATTGATTCAACACTGTGTAATCCAAACAGTGCAGCAAAAGCAGTTTGCACCGCCATGGCCAGTCATTGATTGATTGGTGCACCATTACCTTTTAAAACTAAAACATATCATCGATCCGTCTGTGATACAAAGTCTTCCACTAAAATGCTAAATACTCTTGTGCTGCTGTAGTATAAATACGGTTTAATCCAACGATCACCCTTATTAGACAAGTACTTTCTAAAAACAAACAAAAATAATGTCAACTGAAGCTGGCTTGAAATCAGTGGCCGTCATTGGCGCCGGCGTCGCTGGACTGTGTGCCCTTCGCCACCTGACCGCTCGGTCTGACCGCTTTGGTCCGATTGTCTGCTACGAACAGACGAAAATCATCGGCGGCACTTGGAACTACACCGATGCTGTTGGTCTCGATGAGAATGGCCTTCCAGTGCACACGAGCATGTACCAAGATTTGACGTAAGTGATTCATTCTGTATGTGTCTTCTTCTACTACAAAATTGTAACTGTTTTGACCACTTTTATGTAGAACCAACGCTCCAGCGGAAATAATGGTCTTTCCTGACTTCAAGTGGCAGTACAGCTGCTCCTTTCCGCCACAGAGCGAGGTGCTGCAGTTTATCAACGGCTACGCTGATCACTTCAACCTTCGGCCGTACATTAACTTTGAGCATCACCTGCAGAAGCTGTCCCGCGACCAGGTGAAAAACTGCTGGCAGCTGACGGTGCTCGATGTGAAGGGCGGCAAACGGAGCCCTTTCACGCGCTCATTTGACATTGTCATCCTCTGTCCAGGACGAAACTGCATTCCCCTGCTGCCGAAGATACCCGGAATAGAGGACTTTACCGGCAGGATGATCCACTCGCATGACTACCGCTGTCGAGCGCCGTACACCGGCGAGAGAGTGGCCGTCCTGGGCGCCGGGCCTAGCGGCATAGACATTGCCATTCAGTGTTCAACCGTCGGAAAGCAGGTGTACCTGATCAATCGAACTGACTGGCAGTTTGAAGTGTTGCCGAAAAACTTACGCCAAATCAAGGGCAGTGTCGTCCGGTTCACGAAATCCTCTATTCAGGTGAAGATGGTTGATAGTGAAGAGAAGGAGGAGTTTGAGGTGGACTCGGTCATCCTTGCCACTGGCTATCAGATCTATCTGAGCTACCTTGACCAAGAAGAGTGCGGCCTGCGACACAATGCCGATGACAGTTTGGACGGCATCTACCGCCATCTGATCAATGTCAAGTACCCGACAATGGCTATGTTCTCTATCTTGAAGCCGTCCATTAACTGCTATCTCTACCACAAACAGGTATTTGTGACTTACATGATCTTTACTTTTCTTATAAAATTTCATTTTGCTACAACAGATGCTCTACTACATCAAGCTAATGCTGGGAGAAATTCCCATGCCAACAGAGGAGCAGATGCGAGAGGAGATAAAGGCGGACATTGAGATGCGTCTTCAGAGAAAGATTTTCGACCGACATCAACTGAAGATTCCTATGGTGCGAGAGTACTTCAAGATGCTGGACAGAGACGCCAACCTAGAGCCGGCGCCCACCAATTTACTAGACTTAATGGACGATGTAGCGGAGGTTCGTCGACAGAATCCAATCACCTATAAGAAAATCAACTACAAACTAGTTGACGACAAGTTTGTGGTGGCAGAGAACAGCGAATCATAACAGCGCAACAACAGAAGTACTACTATTCCAAAAGATAGACATGCCGACAGATGCAGCAGACGTAAATAAAGTTGAACACGAGCCAGCAGTATCTGATAGACAATCGGGAGCGGCGATAAAATGAAGTTACTTTCTTTCTTAGACGCTGCTCCCTTTCGGCGGCCTCTCTCTCAGTTAGAGTGACGTTGGCAAACTCCACTTCGTAGTAGTACCCAAAGATGAGCCTTGCCAGAGACGGGTGAATGGGAAGCATCTTCACCAGAGAGCAGACGGCAAAAACGGCAAAGACCAACCAAAAAGCGACCATCAGGTAGAGATCAACTGCTTTCAGGTAATTGGTCGCCACAGTGGTCGACTGAGCGGCCCAACTAACAAAAAAGGTGAAAAGCAAAAGTGAGAGTAGAGACAGTAAAATTCGGAGATTGCCATCTTCGGTGGCAGTTAAATGCAGTGGCACCCAAGAAACGAGAACCAGAAGAAAGACGGGAAAATAAATCTGAAAGACAAAAATGGTGTAGCTTCGATCAAGGGCAANGTGAGAGTAGAGACAGTAAAATTCGGAGATTGCCATCTTCGGTGGCAGTTAAATGCAGTGGCACCCAAGAAACGAGAACCAGAAGAAAGACGGGAAAATAAATCTGAAAGACAAAAATGGTGTAGCTTCGATCAAGGGCAATCTCAGCAACTAATGTTTCGTAGTTTTTTCCTATTTGTTCAATTTTTTGATTTTAAAAAGTTTATTAGCATTTTAAAGGTCTGTTTGAATTTCATTACCAGTGGGAAGTTGAACGGCGCGAGTGTAGAGCTTCACGCCGCCACTTTGGAAGTTAGGAATTTGCGCCTTTGTCAAGTTGCTCTCCAACTTGGTGGCATTTTCTCGCCAGTGAAACTCGTAGTCTGTTATGGAAGCTTGGTAATAATACAATTGTTAACATCGGTTTTTAAAGTAACCAAACACTTACTACTCTCCACTTCAATTGAACACAATTGACGATCAAAGGGAAACATTGTCAAATCCATTATACAGGTAAAGACGACGTCGTATCTGAAACAAATGTTTACCTAAACATTACCTTGAAATTTTGCAAAAAGTTTTCTCAACTTACACCGCAGAAACGTAAACATCACCGGAAGCTCTAACAATGCAAATTGCGGCATCCTCTTCTCGTAGAGTTTGTTTTTGTGTTCGCACCACCTTTCCATTGCTGAAAATGGTGTCAGGAAGCCAGAGCTTCTTCATCAGTGACCTCCCTTGGCGCACCTCACGAACGCCTGGTTTGGAGCGAAACGCCAGACGGTAGTCATTCCACTCTTGGGCAAGATAAAATTGAGCTCGAAATTGCTGAAATTTTTAATAAAAAGTTACTTTCGTTACAAGGAAAACAATAAATACCTGTTTTTCCTCTGAAACTTCATTGATGCTGGCAAAGTGCAAATCAAAAGTAACATTTACAGGACTACTTCCAAAATCAGGTCGAATTTCTTTGTGGTAATCCGTAGGAACCAGTCCTTCAATCATATCAATTGTACTTTGAAGGCTGACAAATTGATTGTGTACAACTTTGTTTTGCGTAAAACTACAGAGCACAATTTTAATGCATTAGTTTAGTGGTCAAAATAAACAACTAAGATTTACCAAAAGCAAAGCACCACTGCTAAATAGAAAATCTTCATTTTTAAACTAAAATCTGTTAGTGTTGTTTTCAAACAACAAGTTTGTATAAAATGAACTCATAAACTGAACACACTCAATACTAACAAAATAAAAAATTGTGTCCTTGTTAATGAAATAAAATGTTGCAAAAAAAATGACACCAAGTTGTGGTCATTTCCTTTTTATTATTATACGCCTTGATTGAATTAATTACCTTTCAATGTCAATTGTGATTTTGCTTTATAGTAACAAAATCTTAAGCGTTTAGACCCATTCAAGTGAATAAAAGAAAAACTGTTTCATGTTTATTTTATTATAAAATAAAATTTGATTTTGCAATTCTTTTGTTTTTAAATATAAGCAAAAAGTATATGCAAACGTATGAAATTAGCTAAAAAGAAATAAGTTAAAAGTGCAACAAACTGTTTTGAAATGTCAATACCGAATCATATGTGCGAGAGGTAATTCGATAGTTTCCAAATAACTTAAATGCATAAGTATCAAGGTGCCGAGGAGCATGAAGTAGTTCTGCCTAAATTTAAAAAATTAAAATTACAATTAAAAATAAAATTAGTAAACACTATACTTTTTGTAATATTAATAGTGAACTGATGTTAAACTTTGAAAGATTCAAGAAAAGCAATCGATTTTGGTGCAAAATTTTCAAATTATTTTTTACCAGTTTTGCACAATGTCCTGTAAGGAGAAATATTAAAACTAGACTGTTGATTGAAATTGGATAAAGAGCAATTTTTTCGATGATCGAAGTTTCATTGATGAAAATGCAAACAAAGAGTAGATAGCAAACATCAGTGAGAATACCCAAAATGAGACATGTTAAAAATGGACTCCAAAATCTACTGTATTCTTTTGTTTCTTGGCAAATGCGAATCAATTTGTTGTAATTATCCAAGTATAGCGACCAGTGCAATTTCATGCTGTCTTTCTTTTTATACTTTTTGTTTGCCAATACGTTTTCAAACTTTTGGTTTATTCTGCAAACACTTTTCATGACACTTTGCTGTTTAATAATTAGGCACTGCACTGTTAAAATAAGGAACATCATGACCATTGTAATTGCTAATAACAAAAAACATAATTAGCATGTTTTAAAAAGTAATTAAATTACCAAAAATATAGTAAAATAAATACAACGGAAACAAAATAAACCAAAATATAATTTGCCTCAGATGGAACTTAATGCCTGTGCTGACAAACAGAAGAAAAATGTACTCGTAGATAAAAAATATTATGTAAAACATGAATCCGCTATAACTTATGTATTTTTTTGCTTTAAAGTAAAACTTTTGAATTTTTATTGAGTTTGATTTGCTTAAAACTGCAAAAACAATTTAAAAGTTAATTGTGAAATATTGCACAATATTTTCATCTCACTTTGTTTAGTTGGAACTGAAAACGCTATTTGATTGGCGAATCCATTTATGTACATCCAATACTTTGGGTCAATCATTGGTGTAAATAAAATGGCGGTAAAAAATAAAATCATAAAAGGTATGCCAAAATAGATTATGACAATGTCAATTTGTTCCCAAATTAGTTTAGGGTACACTTGATGAGTAAACACATAAGGGCTTGATTTAAAATACTTAAAGTTAAAATTTTTTATTTTAAAATTTTCTTCTAATCCAAAAACGCCATAAAATGATACAAAAGTAAAATAAATCAGTTGAAATATAAATTGTTTATTCAGTATGTTAAATTTTTGATATGCAAAGTCATTTAAATTAACAAAAGTTTTAATTGGATCAAATAAACTACAAAGCATATATGAATGAGAATCAATTACGTTGAAAATTGATTTAGCAACAAGTTTGTGGGTTTTTGAAAAAGTATTAAAAAATAAACGCGCCATTTTTATGAAGTTAAGTTTATGAGCAAAACAGTTAGTCTTATTTAAAAACAGTTAAAAATTTATATTTTAGTTTGCAAGAACTTCAAATTTAAAACATTTCTAGTGCAAGTCAATAATATAAATAATTAACTTTGTTTCTTATTCTACAAAAACAACAACCTTATTCATTAAGTTCAAAAACTAAAACATTGCATTTTGTGCAATAATAAAATTAATTTTTTACTGAAGTTAGGGTTTTAAAAACAAAAATGTAAAATACAATGTATTTTTTGTAGTGATCAAAATTAATTGTTTTTACAATGTTGCACTTTGCAATTTTGTTATTCTAAAAAAATTACATTTTATTTTTTAATTTGCATAACATGCAGATTGAATACTGTCACCCTGTTTTAATTTTATAAAATTTTGATTTAGTTTCAACAGAAAAAATCAAAGTCTATAGACAATTATTCATTTAAAACTGACAAAACAGTAAGTTTGTGTATATTTATAACTTGTAGCAGCCAAGTTATGTTTTACACTTTTTTATCATTGTCAAAAACAGACAGTTTAAAAAATTATTCGTTGTTGTGAGTGTTTTTATTTACGTTTAAAATATTGATAAATAAAATAAGATATTTTATGATCACACATTTGTATAGTACTTTTGTACAAATTAGTTAAAA